GCTGTTCAGATAGAAGATAGGTCCACTAAGGCAGTTCAATTAGCTAAGATGAGCAGAGACGGTGTCTCTAGCCTCTGTTTGTCAGGGCTAGGAATGGGTAATGAGATAGATCACTTGATTACCTGTTTTGTTCAATACCTCTGGGTACATGGAATGGCCACTGTCAGAAAACAGGATACTGGGCTAGCTGGAATTTGGTTTGACCCAGTAGGGCTGTTCTTAAATTCTAAGATTGCAAAAGACTTGGGCTGCGTCTAGATTGACATGATTTTGCATAAATACTTTTAACAGCAAAGTTTTTCTGTTAAACGTATTTGCGCAAGAGAGCGTCTACACTGGCACGGATGCTTTTGCGCAAAAGCATCCGTGCCAGTGTAGACGCTCTCTTGCACAAGAAAGCTCCGTTGGCCATTTTAGCCATCGGGCTTTCTTGCGCAAGAAAGCCCGATGGCTAAAATGGCCAACGGAGCTTTCTTGTGCAAGAGAGCGTCTATATTGGCATGTGCCTTTGCGCAGAAGATTTGCTTTTGCGCAAAATCATGCCAGTCTAGACGCAGCCTTGCTGAAACAAATCCTCTGCTAAAAATCCCATGTGGATTGGGTACTGGTTTGAGACTCAAAAGACATCAGTTCAATTTTCTGCTCTCCCATTAGCCAGCTGGGTGAATCTGCACATGTCCCTACTATGCTCCATGCCTCAGTTTCTCCTCCTGTAAATTGAGGGTGGCAATATTGTATTTTTGCAAAGTGCTTTGAGAACAACTGATGAACATTTTCACGTAAAACTTATGTATTATCATGACTATGAGCCATACACATTACAGGGGTCAGCAGCCTATGGCTCTCAAGCCAAATATGGCTCAGGATGGAACCAAATACGGATCTTTGGTCATTCCCAAAATACATGCAACTTTTTAAATTAAAATGAAAAATTCAAAATTTAAAAAAAGCGTAATTACTCATGGAGCTTGAATGTGTGCATGAACCTGAATCTGACCAGTTATGGTATGTCTCCAAACAAATATGTGAAAAGATGCAGTAGTAGAAGTCCCATTAAATAAAGTCTGTGAGTAGGTTTCCTTTATGCTATTATTAATCATCATGTCAATTATCAATAATATTAAGCTGTATATTTTCAGTCATACAAATGGGCATTCTTATAGAGCTCTTTTTTGACCACTTGTTCTGAATTTTGATGCAATTTGGCTCTTTAGTTTGAAAAGGTTGTCGATCTCTGCATTATAACACACAGCGTTCAATAAGAATGCCATACTTTCCTTCTATCTCTTTTCCCCCTCTGGTTAATTTCTGCTCTTGTTCTCGCTAAAATTTCTCTATGCACTGCTTTCCAATCTCTCTTCCTGGCCCTGCACAATAATCCATCCAAATATCCCATAAATCTTTCTGATCTAAGACAAATAAAGGAAAATATGTACTATAAATAATCACCATTATTTCGTTCAGTAGAAATGAATGAGTTGGTAATATAAAATATTAGATGATTGACAAGATCATTATCCATATTCAATAACCATAATACAAAGGACATAAGATACAATTTAACTTACTCCCCTTATCTTATGTCCAGTTTAAAATTTTTGCTCCCATTCTTAGACCATCTAAACCAGATATATAAAGCAGAGATACACAGATACCCTTTCTGAGTCAAAATTGTTCATCAGCAGTTAAATTCTACAGAGAAAAAGCAAACATTACCTGATAAATCAAGACTGGGTGTTGAGTAGATAGAGGCAGAATCTGGGAAATCTACTCCCAGAAAATAAATTTATTTTTTCTCTAAGTTGTTCTTATGTAAGGGATTTTATAACTGGTTTGGGTTCATCTAAAGACCCACTCCTCCCCATAAGGAAGTGGTCAGTTTTACTTGCAATTAGTGTATAACCGGAAAGGGCCCTATATCCATGAGAAATTCCTGGCCATGTCTATTTTGGAATATTACATTGGACTGTGTTGCTAACATGAAGATGTTAAATATGAATTAGCGTCTAGTGTAGGCACAAAAATATCATTTTTGATCTAGAAACCCCTTTTGGGGTTAATCACGACCAACTAGCACATTTTTGATGACTGCACGTGTCTTCTACACTATGGGCTAAATCATGTTTAATTGCATATTAGTTAACATGTTTTCTGACAATTCATTTTCCCCAGTGTAGACAAAGCCATAATGGTGGCACTTTCCCCATTCATTTTAAACAGTGGATGAAATATGGTTCTCAATAAACCAGTGATGTGCATTGCACATAGATGACAAGGGATTTAGGGCATGTGTACACAGCAAGGCAAAAGTAAAATTAATCTACGCAACTTCAGCTACATCAATTGCATAGCTGAAGTTGAAATAGCTTAACTCGTCTTTTGGTGCTGCCTACACAGCAGGAAGCTGAAGGAAGACTTCACTTACTCCTCGTGAAATGAGGGTTACAGGAATCAGAATAATAGGTCTTCCCGCTCGACATTATTTTGAAATAACAGCTTGCTGTGTAGACTCACACTTGGCTATTTCGAAATAACGTCAGTGCTCAAAATACACAGCTGCTGTGTAGACATGCCCTTACTGTGTGTGCATGGCAATAGACAAGCCCTTGAATAAAAGAATTAGCTGCGTCAACGTAAATTTGTCAAACTCATCACCCTATTCTCTGAATATCCACTATGAAGCATACAATATTTAATTTCCAGCAATGGATATTTCTTAAAGGGACCAAAAATACTTTTGGTCTTGTTTAGAATCTTTTCTATGAATGTCCTTCTGTATCCTTCACTAGTGATCATTAAGATTGCAAGGCTTTAGCAGAGGTCAAAGATTATATAACTTCTTGTTCTTTTTAGTCCCTAAAAGATCCACTTTGTGAGTGAGAGCTGTACACCAAGATCTGAGTGAATAATTTGGTCTTCGTGACAGCGATGTTTAGATGTTGTGAGGCTTGTTGGCAAAGCATTTTGAGAACCTCTGATGAAAAACTAAGCACTATTATTGTTCTTAATAAAATTATGAGCATGGCTTAAAATTAGTACCTGCTTCCAAAGCCATCAAAAGCAGCAAGTAGAAAAGTAGGTACTGAAAAAAATGTGGAGATTTGGTGGAGATTCTAATCCCATACTCTTGGCATGAAATCAAATCAAAATCAAAAGGTGTTCAATGGGCCAAGATGGGACTTGCTGTATTTTTGCTTTGTATCGAGCTGCTACAGTGATAACAGCTTTGAGCTGCTCTGCTTTTAGAATTTGCATGCCTGAAATTTGTAGAAGATAAGAATTTTGAGGCTAAATATAAGCTTGTACCCTCCTTTCTCTATTGCTCAATCCTAGTCCCATTAACTGTAATGGGGCCCCTTACATCAGTGTAATTCCCTGATTTCTAGTCACTGGAAGCAATCGCAGTAATAAAATCATAGCACTGGGAACGACCTTGAGATGTCAGCTTGTCCAGTCCCCGGCACTCATGGCAGGACTAAGCATTATCTAGACCATTTTTGACAGATGTTTATCTAATCTGCTCTTAGGATCATAGAACCATAGAGCTGGAAGAGACCTTAGAAGGCCATCAAGTCCAGCCCCCTGCCCAAGGCAGGTCCAATCCCAATTAAATCAACCCAGCCAGGGCTTTGTCAAACTGAGACTTAAACACTTCTAGGGATGGAGACTCCACTACTTCCCTAAGTAACCCATTCCAGTGCTTCACCATCCTCCTAGTGAAATAGTTTTAAATATCTCTTAAATACCTTCAATGATGGAGATTCCACAACCTCCCTAGGAAATTTATTCCAGTTCGTAACCACCCTGACAGTTAGGAAGTTTTTCCTAATGTCCAAAATAAACCTTCCCTGCTGCAATTTAAACCCATTGCTTCTTGTCCTATCTTTAGGTGAAGGAGAATAACTTTACTCCCTTTTCCTTTTAACAGCCTTTTATATACATGTGCTCAAGTCCCCTCTCAGCCACCTTCTCCAGACTAAGCAAACCTTGAGGCCTCAGCACAGAGCACAGTGGAAAAATAACTTCCCATGTCTTACTTACGACAGTCCTATTAATGCATCCCAGAATAAGGTTTGCTTTTTTTGCAACAGTGTTACACTGTTGACACATATACAACCTGTGGTCCACTATGACCCTAGATCTCTTTCTGCTGTATTCCTTCCTAAGTAGTTATTTGCCATTTTGTATAACATGCCGCTGATTTTCCTTCCTAGGTAGAGTACTTTGCATTTGTCCTTCTTGAATGTCATCCTATTTACCTCAGACCATTTTTCCAGTTTGCCCAGATTATTTTGAACTACAATCCTGTCCTCCACAGCACTTGCAATTCTCCCAGTTTGATGCCATCCACAAACTTTGTAAGTGAACTCTCTGTGCTATTATCTAAATCACTGATGAAGATAATAAACAGAATAAGTCCCAAAACTGATTCCTGCAGGATCCCACTTGTTATGCCCTTCCAGCTTGACTGTGAACCATTTATAACTAACTGTTCTCTGAGAATGATTTCCCAGCCAGTTTTGTACCCAGTCGCTCCATCTAGGTTGCATTTCCCTAGTTTGTTTAGAAGGTCATGGAGCAAATAATCAGACAGTATCAAAAGCTTTATTGAAGTCAAGATATATCTACCACTTTCTCCCATTCAAAAGGCTTGTTACCAAGTCAAAGAAAGCTATCAAGTTGGTTTGACACAATTTGTTCTTGACAAATCCATGCTGACTTTACTTATCACCTTATTATCTTCCAGCTGCTTACAAATGGTTGCTTAATTATTTGCCCCATTATCTTTCTGGGTACAGAAGGTAAGCTGACTCGTCTGTATTTTCCAGTTTGTCCTTATTTCCTTGTTTACAGGTTGGCACTATATTTACCTTTTTTCTTGTGTGTTGGAATCATTCCTGTCTTCCATGACTTTTCAAAGATAGTTGCTAATGGCTCAGATATCTCCTCAGTCATCTTCTTGAGTATTTTAGGATGCATTTCATCAAGTCCTAGTGACTTGAAGACATCTAATTTGTCTAAGTAATTTTTAACTTTTTCTTTTTCCTATTTTAATCTCTGATCCTACCTCATTTTCCCTGGCATTCACTATGCTAGACATCCAAACACCACCAACCTTCTTGGTGAAAACCGAAACAGAGACGTCATTAAGCACTTCTGCCGTTTCTACATTTTCTATTATTTTTCAACCTCTCCCCCCAATTAAGTAACAGTCCTACTCTGTGCTTGGTCTTCCTCTTTCTTCTAGCACATATGTAGAATGGTTTCTTGTTAACCTTTCTCTGTCTCTGATCTTATTTTGTGCCTTGATCTTTCTAATATTTTGTCCCTACATATTTTTGGGCATACAATATGCCACTGAAATCCACAACAAGAAAACCAGAAAGTTATTTTCTGAACTAGTAAAACTTTAATTAACAGGAGTTTCTCTTGGCACAGTTTTTGCTATTAAATAAATAAAGCATTTAGTCAAAACCATCTATATTTACTATACAAAATACTGAAAAGCAAACATTTTTAAAAGATACGGAAACTTAGGGTTCTGTGAAAAAAACTGTGCTACATGATCAATTATTCACACTTAATGCACGTAACACAAATGCAACACAGTATTTAACTACTGTATGTTTATACGTGGCTGGTGCAAGTTTGTTAGTGTGAGGATGCCATGTTATTAAAATTAATTTGTACTTCACTGAATACAAGCAAGGTCTTTTGGATATCAAAAAATAAATCAAGTTAAAAGTTGTAGCTTATGGTCAATTGTGATTTCCTTTTATAGGAACCCACTTGCATTGTATTAACTTTGGACACGTTTAAATTAGATGCGAGTTTGTTAGAACTGCTGTTATCTTTTCTGGCAAAATATCTTTGGGCTTTAGAACAATTATTGTCCATCCTACATTCCTCCCTCTCCCAAGCTCCTCCCCCCAATGAAACATACTGAATTATTCTAGGTTTCAAATTTTTTGGCCACCTGTGAATTTTCAAAAAAAAAATCAATTATTTTCCTTTTGTTAATATTGCAGAATGCTGGTAAATACTCTGCTAAAAAGAGAACAGCATCACTTACGCCTCAGGAACAGATAACATGGCATCCCTTTTCAGATGGAATGTACACTTGTGTGTTTGCATGCAGTAAAACATAAGTCACTTGAATACATCAGACTTCGTTAACACTATAATATAAATAAGCTTATTCCTTCTACGAGACATATAAATGTCTTTTTTTGCAGTCCATATTATATATACATTGAAAAAGAAAGATACACAAGCAGCAACATAGGCTTAGACTAGAACAACTCAGTGGTAACTAACCAAATTTGTGGCCTTTTCATATTTTCAATACAGAAAATTCTGCATATAAATATTTTTGGACTTAGGAATTTAAAAAATAAACAGAACAGTATAGTTGTCACACAGATCAAACACACTTTAAAACATTTTGCTAGATTTAACAGAACACAAGGTCAACATCTAAAAAAGAAATGAAAATAAACCAGGTTTTTAAAAGGGACAATAAGCCTAAACAACTGCTGAATTTGGGAGACATGAGATGGAATTAATAACCAACAAGCAGTGATTCATCTCCAACTCCACAAGAAGGCAAGGCTTTCATCTTTGTTTTCTGTAAATGTTGATATCTCTATGTCCTTCTATAGGACAGTAGCCTTCTAAAAGTTTTAATGCTCAGCAGTAGGGAAATTTCCCATCTTGAACTGATCAAGACTGTAGTTGCAACCAAACATGACCTAGTCATAAAGGACTCTTAAAAAATGTGGGATAATAACATTTCACATGATACACTGTAGACAAAAAAACACAAATAATTAAAAGAAACTAAAACCAAAAGTATGTCTGATAGAACATTACATTTTTATGTGATCAGAACTCTACTTTTTAGTTCTAAAAGCAATAGAGCATTTGCTATGTAGTCACTTTTGCCTGCACTGTACAAACGTACTACAGATCTGAGCCTTTCAGAAAGCAAAACTCGGATTTACTGACTTTTTCAATCACACTTTTCCCCATTTGTATTTGACCTTTAAATGTCTCAGCAGCCAATAATGGTCTCATAGGTCTTGCCTCATTTTACTTTGTGGAATGGAAGCCCTTTGATATAAAAAGAGTGGTAGAGGCCAGAATGACTGTGAGCAGTGTTCTTTACATGTTGAATTGTCTTTAAAAAAAGGAGCAGATTGAAACTATAGGTCCTGGGGAAACACAAATTACAGGCACCCAAGAAAATGCCATGGGCATGTGTTTTATAACATTCCCAAAAAGTTGCTGTTGTAAGAAAAAAATGTTAATATTCAAACCACAGATTTCTAAAACACAAGAATATGTACCTGAGAGACAGAGAGAGAGAGAGAGAGAGCGCGTATATGTATATATATGCGCCAACATTTAAAGTGAGAAAGCATACTTTCCTCTAATTCTTTCTCAAAACAAAGACTTGTGGATTCAAAACATAACAAAACCAATGAATGTTAGTTAATGGCACAAACATTAAGGTTTAGTGATGGTTTTGAAAAACCTCATTTTACATCCACCTCTTGTTTTTGCTCTCAGATGGTCTCCAAGCAAAGAATGGAAAGTAAATAAAAGGGAGCTATATTTAAATACTACCCAATATCTAACAGCCTGTACTTGAGCCAGTAAAGAAACCTGAAGGGGAAAAAAGTGTAAGTTGTAAAATATAGCTCTGTTGACAAATATAGCTAGTATTTCCTTGTAATTATTAAGATAGCTTAAAAAGATGTGAAAGTACAACAAACAGGCTACATGAATGCAGTATATTAAAATCCCCTCATAGCGCATTACAATCAATAAAAAGAAAATAAAATTTGAATAATACTAGAGGTAGCAGCTGTTTGTATTTTCTGTTATTCTAAGTATTTCTGGAGTCCAAACCTTCGAACATTGCTCCCCTGATAAAAAGGCTTGAGTGCAAGAAGCCGACATATGGCAGATGGGTAAGCTAGATATCTGCAATGTTGATTGAAGTATCTTTTTCTAATACAATGAAGGAAGTACTTGTAAAGGAAGTGCGTTGATGACCTGCATTAAATCACAGCTCAAAAACTATGGCTGTTTTACAAGCCGCTTAAATCCAAATAATCAACAAGTTGTTAAGTAAGCTATGCAGTTTCACAACATATAAATAGTGTAAGTTTCAATGGTTTCATATAATTTCTAAAATATATGATAGCTGAATATTAATGGAGTAACAATATTAATCATACTAATGCCTTAGTCTGAAGTCACAGGAAGGCGTTTCCTTCATATGGGGGATATCTGGAGGGTGTTAGATGGGACCTGTCTTATGTCTGGTAGAAGTGATGATAGTGGTGGTGATGCTCGTGGTGGTGATGGTGTTCATGTCTCTGGATCATTTGTCCAACTTGGCCTTCATACAAAATAACAGTGGGCAGGTCTCTGACATGCTCTTTCTCCATAACTGTCCCTGGAGAATGGAAGGTTTTACACATTTGATGATTCTCCTTTGCCCTTTGCTTGTGTTTCTTGTGAGCCTGCTGGGACTGCATGGGGAGGTAAGGAAGATTCTGGCCCATCCGTGCAGTGGGGGAAGCCATTGGCATGGATGCCCCTTGAAGAGGTTTATTCCTTACTGCCCTTCCAGGGTGAACAGAGGCTACGTTTTTGCTCTGGACCTTGGGAGACCTTACAAAGTGCTTGTTTGAGTCCTGATTGCGCAGCCTTTGTTGTAATTCTGCAATCTTGGCATATGAGGCATCAGCCAAATTGATGTGGCTGGGGTCCACCACTTGAGATTTCCTATAATGGGCATGGAAGGTTTCAGGTTCATGAGAGCGGGATCTCGTCTGATTCACAACTCTGTTTGGTGGGTCATACTTCGGGGCTGCTGGAGGTGATCCTAGAAAAGAACAGAATTAGTCACTCACAGAATACTAGAACTGGAAGGGACCTCGGAAGGTCAAGTCCAGTCCCCTGCCCTCATCGCAGGACCATCTAGATCATTCGTGATAGATGGCTAACCAAGCTGCTCTTAAATATCTTCAGTGATGGAGATTTCACAACCTCTCTTGGCAATTTATTCCAGTGTTTAACCACCCTGACAGTTAGGAAGTTTTTCCTAACATCCAATCTAAACCTCCCTTGCTGCCATTTAAGCACATTTAAGCTCATGTAATATTTCAAATCTTAATTAGCAGCATGCACTTGGCATGGTTAAGTTTATCAGCAGAGTGGAATCTTCCTCGGGAAAAGAACATAATTATACCCATAGCTGTTTAGAAAAAGTGTTAAAAGTCCCTGTGTCAGAGTGCTAGGCAAGAACGGCTGAGCTAGCACTCGTCATGGCAGCCCCAGTCAAACAATGCAGAATGGAGCTGGTTAAACAGAGATGCGCCTAAGTTTGTGGGGAGGGGAAGGAGAGCTGGAAGGCTAATTAAGCCATTAGGCAGAGTCTACAAATAGGCAGAGGAAGGAAATAGAAAGGGGAACACAAGCAACAGGGGGAGGACAAAGATTACCCTGCCATGCTTAGTGCAGGAGCTAGGGACTCCCTAGATCAATTGGAGCAGAGCTGTTTATAGTACTAGATTTAGCAGGCTTGCTCAGATCCTTAACTCAATTCATGTTTGTGTTGGGTTTTTTTGAAAATAAAATGAAAACGTGCAAGCTTCATTTGAATCATTGCTCTGGGTTGGGCTGGGAATGAGGGGTTCAATTTGCAGGCTGCCCCAGGGACAGAAGACTACCAAGGCCCTGTCTTACCACAGCAGTTTGGGGCCAAGGGAAAAGTGCCTCTCCATGGCTAGTGATAGAAATGTAGCCGTGTTAGTCTGGGGTAGCTGAAGCAAAATGCAGGACAATGTAGCACTTTAAAGACTAACAAGATGGTTTATTAGATGATGAGCTTTCGTGGGCCAGACCCACTTCCCCACGAAAGCTCATCATCTAATAAACCATCTTGTTAGTCTTTAAAGTGCTACATTGTCCTGCATTTTGCTTCTCCATGGCTACTGTAGCTCCAGCAGTCACAGTCAAGGAGGGGCACACCTCCCTCGGCTGGGGTAGGTCCAGGTTCATCTGCCCTCTGTGCTCCACAGCCAGAGTGAGCAATGCACCAAACTGTGCACCTTCCCTTTGCTTCCTTTCAAGAAAGCAATGTCTTCATATGAATCAGGGGAAAGGGACACGAGGTAAGCTTCAGCCACTCCTGGATTGGGGAAGCAGTGTGCTTTCAGCCAGCCCCTTTCACCTGCCTGGTAATTCTGTCTCTTTTCTGTATGGTTTTATGAGAAATAATCCCATTCCAGGCACATCCCATTTTCCTGGCACAACCAAACCTTTATCTTGCTTTAAGTTATGATAAGACGAAGCTGCCTACCAACTTTGGTGGTCCTAGCTCTTACCGTTTAGGAGGAGTTATTTAAAGAGAAGCTAGATAATTTCATGGAGGTTAGGTCCATAAAAGGCTATTAGCCAGGGGATAGAAATGGTGTCCCTGGCCTCTGTTTGTCAGAGGCTGGAGAAGGATGGCAGGAGACAAATTGCTTGTGATCATTGTCTTCGGTCCACCCCCTCTGGGGCACCTGGTACTGGCCACTGTCGGCAGACAGGCTACTGGGCTAGACAGACCTTTGGTCTGACCCAGTACAGCTGTTCTTATGTTCTTATGAACAGAGAAACTCTCTCAAATATACAGTAGATGAAGATGGTGGGAACCCACACTGTGAATAAACTACACGTTTGACCTGCACAAGGAGGCAGGAACATGAGGGTCTTGTCACAGTCCTATTATTAAATACTATCAAAGGACTTTTTTTTTCCCAAAAAGGCCTTACTGTCAGGCTCTGTGGGTGTTAGGAGTCATCAGACTCCAATCCTCTACACAGCATGGTCTCAGATAGCAGATGGGTCACAGGTCTAGGAAACTCAACTAGGGTCCAAGCCCCATCCCTATGCTCTGATTGGGCAAGTGCCATGGCTCCTGACTGGATTTCAGTCCTTGTTTAAGCCAGAGGAGAGAACAGGAAGATGTCTGTACATCTGGGCTTCACCCTACCATGGTATTCTGGCCTTAGTATCCTGACCTCCTTGGGTATGTCTAGACTTCCTGGCTCTGTCGCCAGAGCCATGTAGATTAGTTTGCTAGACATACCGAAATGAAACGGCGATTTAAATAATTGCTGCTTCATTTAAATTAAAATGGCTGAGCTGTTTGGCGGCAGAGCGCGGTGGTCTGGATGCTCCGCGGTCGACATCAAAGGCATTTGTCAACTGCCCCATTATGCTTCATGGGATGAAGTTTACCGGGGAGGTCGACAAATGCCTTTGATGTCGACCGCGGAGCGTCCAGACTAGTGCGCCGTGCCGCCAAACAGCTGATCGGCACAGTGCGGCAGCCATTTTAATTTAAATGAAGCGGCGATTATTTAAATCGCTGCTTCATTTGGGTATGTCTAGTAAACAATCTACATGGCTCTGGCAACAGAGCCATGTAGTCTAGACATACCCTTAGTGTCCTGACTCGCGTAGGACGATCACTCACCAGTTCACAGAATTCCAAACTTTCCAGTACTTCTGGGAATGGCACAGGTCATTCTCTACTTGTGTGATCCCACCTCTGCCATGTGACCTCACATGTATCACATCAGGGGAGGGCGTGTTATCTCTAAGTGCATGACACCCTGGTCCCAAAGGTATGTGCAAGGTTACATTGAAGGGAGAAAATGGTAGGGGATATGCCACCCCAAAAAAAGACTGTTCAGTTCATAACTAGACAAGTGGCCTCCCTATATTCTTGATCACTGTTCTCTGGTTTGTCTATTGATTCTGATCTCCCTATGGTCCAACTTGGCCTGATTCTTGGTAATTGGTTCCTTGGCCCTATACCTTTGTCCCACACCGAACACTAACCGTGAGCCACTCCACCAATGACCCAGCCCGGCACTTAATCAGTTTGGAAAATTTCTCCTTCTTGGACATCAGTCTCTAGACTGTATCAAAACAATGGCATCTGGTAGAGTAAAACACAGAGGCAGGGCAAAACTGCAATCCAAATCCCTTTGAATCTGGGGGTACTGGTTCTGGATTGAACCCGAAAATCTGAAAGCAACTATTTTCTGGTTCCTGCTCACATGGAGCCAGCATCATCTGAAGCTTAACCCTAGTTTTGCACCTAATAAACTGGATCTGAACACTGCTCTCTAAGCCTATCTCTAGTAAATAGCTATGGACCAATCATACACTGTACTCCTTTTTTCTAAATTCAGTGGTCCCAATACAGTCCATGTAGCTGAAGACAGAACTGGGACAAAAGTCTGAAAGATCAATACACTACCTGGTCCAAATTTCGATGTATAGTTTTCTATTCCTGCAAGATCCAAATAGTGGTTTCTCCTTTCAATGTTCTCATCAACGCAATGCCGATAGCACCCACTCTGCTCAGGATTGTTGTCACTGTGGTGATATCTGTGAGCCAGAAGCAAAATTAAAATTCAGAAAAACATCTTTGAGTTGTTACGGCCATCTCCAATTCAAAAGTTAGTGGACACTCTGAAATGGTAGGAGTTACTTGGAAAGATACACAACAAATGTCTGATGTTCTGGATGTTCCGTGGGCTAACTACGGGCCTGAAAAGACATTCTTTTCCCTCCTATAAATTGATCCGCAATGTTGCAAAGCAAGAGATACTTTCCAATCTGTTTCACGCAAAAGCAGATACAAACTCTGTGAGGGTCTATTACAGACTGTATATATGGTTGGACCAAACCAATCAATAAATTCATTAATCTGGGCATGCCAAGGAAAGTCTGTTTGACATGGCTGCTCCCAGCTCTGCAAGGCAACAGTGAAATGATCCTGGTGTTAGATAAATGGTTTGAATCCTCATGTGGTTCTGCTTCAGGGAAGTAGGCAGGTGTATCTACTGGAGGGAAACTGGGGGGAAAGGTGTCAGTGGAAAAATCTGAGATAATGTTTGCGAAAATATGTTTAATAAAGTCAGATCAACCTCCGGCTCCATAATCCTGACTCCTTTTCTTGCTCAGCTTTGCAACTTTATTTAAAGGCACTTCCATCTCTGAGACCCTGGGATGGATTCTGCTCTCAACACCCTCAGGCAGCGGGAGGCCAAGAATTCAGGCTGGTTCCAAAATAAGAATTCAAGCTGGTTTCTGCATGGCGCAGAGTGCTCTGGCCCCAATTCAGCCTAGTATTTAAACTTTATCTTCCATCATCTGAATAGTCCCACTGGAGACAAGCATGTAGGAAGTATTTTCCTGGTTTGGACCAGCAGACTGAGCTCTGTGTGTGACATTGGTGTCTCATTAGGGATCTCTACAATTATCTTGCTAAAAATCTCCAATCTATCTCAGGACATTAGATACATCTGCAGGATTACATCTACATTGCTTCGATAAACACAAATATTCTTGCAGGTAACACTGCCTGCTTGGAAAGTCACAAAACTTTAATGGATATGGTGCTGAAGTCACCTTGGTGCACTGGGAGTGACAGAAGCCAACGTACCAACCTGTCGTAAGGAACTAGAACAGGAAACTACCAAAGCTTTTTCTGGTGTTGGTAACTAATCAGCCCATACACCAGACAAAACTCAATCGGGATCTTTGTGGAATTCTGCAGTTATGGCAGCGTAACGTGTAGGAACGCAAATCAAAGAGCTTCAGCAGCTACAGTTTGGCAGACAAGTGCCATATATTGCTGCTGATCTGCCACCGTTCGTGGAGCTCAATAGAAGCTGCATGCATGCACTGAAGGCACAGTATGGTTCAGACAGTGAACAAATAACTGTTTCTGGTCCAGCACAATTTAGCAGCATTGCATACAATTATCTGGGAACCAGGATTTTGTTGGGGGGAGGGAAGGAGGAGGAAAAGGGGTACTGTAATGAATTCCATCGCTCAGTGAGACAATGGAGAAAAATTATGCTAGTACCATCACAGCCCTTAACTGTAACAGCTTTCTAACATGTCAGATGACAATTAACAAAGCAAATATACGCAGTGAAGCAATTACATGTTGATGAGAGATGTGCCCCAATGTCAAAGAGAACTTAAAATATTTCTGACCACTAGCGTTTCTGGCATCCATCCCCTGCCTGCTCCTTTGCAAATACAGGCAGTCCCCGGCTTAAGAAAGGGTTACATTCGGAACACCTAGTCGTAACTTACGATTTGGTCGTAAGTTGGAAATAATCTTAAACGTGCTGTTCAAAAAACTTGACATACACGGTTCTCAATTTGAAAATATTATAATGGGGATAATGGGAGGTTGGTCGTAAGTACGGACGGTTGTAAGTCGGCGAGTGGCTGTACATGGAAGCATTCAGGCATCACACACTTGATACTAATCTTCTGCAAGGTGGAAGAATGTGTATTTCTGAAAAAGAGACATGTGCTAATGTCTTTGAACAGTATAGGTACATCTACACAGTGGCACTATTTTGGGATAGCATTCTGTGTCTCTCAACAGCACACCCGTTATTTAAAAATACATTCAAAATAATGGGCTTCTTATTTCAGCTTCCTGTAAACCTCATTGCAAGAGGATTAAAGAAGATGCCAGAATAGGGAATTATTTCAAAATAATCTATTTTGAAATAATCTATAAGTTGCATAACTCAAATTGCGTAGCTTATTTCAAAATAGTCTTCACAGCAAGCATGTTATTTCGGGCCCGCTATTCTGACATCCCTGTAAACCTCATTCTACGAGGAGTAAGGGACATTTCGGAATAGCACTTTATTTTGAAATTTGTAGGCAGCACCAAATGAAAAAGCATCGAAATAAGATACTCAATTTGAGTAGCACAAATGAACATGACATTTAAATAATCTAGGGCTAAACTGTTTAAACAGGGCTGGGTGAAGGGGAGGCAAGGAGCTAGTATGTACCAATGGAGACTCCGTATCTGTGGCAGAGTGGAAAGATATTTCAGAGCTTTGTTTTATATAAGCATTTTCCCTGTTGCCCAAAAGCAAGTATAAACAGCAGCAGAAATGGCATGGCATTAACACAGCCAAACCATGAAGCTATCTGCGAATGGTGTTCTTGATGTCAATGCTATTTTTATTTTGAGAGATATGCAGGGTGAACCAACCATAAATCTGGATACTTATATTAGCAATACATGTAAAAGCTGTGGTGTCCATCATGTTAGCCACTAGCCACACGTGGCTATTTGGCCAGTTGAGTGTGGCTAGTTCACTGCTTCAGTGACTACTACAGCTCTAGCCCATAGCATCCAACATATGAAATCCCATCAACAAGAACATTTTTGCCATCTTAGGGGCAGGAACATCCCTATCAGCTTTAACCTGACTACTAACTGAATTTTGCTTGTAATTCCCTGGAGACTGGGCTCATGAAAATATACGTCTCTCACTCACGTCAGAATCTCATTGTAACTCCAAAGGAGAGCTCCCACATTCGTCCCTTGCCACTGATGAGCGTGAGGAAGACTTTCACAAGCTTAGCCATTTGGCCAAGGTACACAGAAACTTGGTGCTGCTTTGCTGCTTCCTGCAATAGACACATGGGCCAGATTTTTTGTTGTGTCCACATTTGGCTCAGGGCAGCTCAGGAAAGTTAGTAAGATGGCTGCCTGATGTTCTGCTTAGCCCTGGCTTCTGGTTAGAACAGCCTAGGAAGACTCTAATATAGGGGTGAACAATAAGCAGCATGTAGGCTGGAGGTGGTTTGCCAGGGTTAAGCTCTGGTGGGCTGTCGATGCTTTATTTATCTGTATGTCCACAGATACAGCTGCCTGCAGCTCCCGTTGGCCATGGATTGCCGTTCCCTGCCAATGGGAGCTGCAAACGGCTCTATCTGTGGAGGTGAAGGTAAATAAAGCCCAAGTGGCCTGCCAGGAGCTAACCCTGGTGAACCGCTGCCAGCCCCATGGACTGCTTATTGCCCATCTTGTAACATGAGCTGGCTGGGAGTGCTATCCAAGGGAGCCTTCCAGCCATCTTGTGCAGACAAGCAAAAAGGGAACAGAGTCCCATAGAAAACTATGGTGCAACTATTTGGTGTAAATATGACTATTTGGCTTATTTGGTGCAACTCTGACTGGTGGTTTCTAATGGGATTAGTTGCCATTCAGAATACAGCCCTGTCTTATTCAGAAGCAGCACCATATTCAATTCAATTGGAGGAAGATCTTTTGAACAGATTCTGCGCTCTACATCTTAAACCAGCTAAGATATCTCTTCATGCAAATACATTCAAACAACTATGCAAATAACTGTGGACTTGTATTTACATTGGGGAAACGTCCACCCTGAAGAGCATGCTCAAGTACTCAGCCAAGAGCCCAAAAAGAGCCTTTGTGCTAAAAACCAGTCATCACAGGTAAAAAGGCAGAATTCATTTTCTTTCCTGTTATTTTGATCTGTGAATCTGGACCCACTACTCTGAAGTATTTCTGAGTATTTCTGTCGAATCCAGAGAAGGGAGGCCCAAGTTACTTTTTTGGGCTCTTCCTCGTCCCTGCTTCCACTCTCCCTCCCCAAATGAACCTGGACCTGAACCTGAACACTTCTCCTACTGACATTTGTTGAACTCTGATAAAAATATTTGTTAAGTCAAGGAAGCACAAAACTATAACTGTAAGTTGCAGCCACAGAAACAATCATTACTTGTGTGTCGATGTCACTATTATGGCACTTCAGCCCCAATGAATGTTCCCTTTTGCCCTATCTTGAACATTAAAACAACTGCATATTAATCAAACATATACAGTGACCATAGAGAGGATCTGACCAAAGCAGTGGGTCTATATTAGGAGACATTAAAGGATTATAGGACTTTTGTTTAATTACCCATCTGAACAATGGAAATAACACTTCTAAACTGAGGGGAGCATTTTTTGTACATTGCATAAATAAATTAAGTAATAGGCACTATGAAATCTGTCCTTGACAGATCTGTCTCAACTGATGATCACATACTCTGTTGTTCAGTGCAGCATTTGTCTATAAGAAGGTAGAAGATGTGAAAATGGGGCAAATACGTGCTTCTCTTTGCTAACCTTCCCAATGACATGACTAGACATTTTCTGAGGAACAAGGCCTATTCTAGACTGGCATCCAAAATAATATTGTGCATTCCTTCAGGGAGAGACTTCAAAAAGGTCTGTTTTATCTTATCTCTAGAAGGCTGCAATTGTACCTGCAGCTGTGCATAAAATAACTTGCTGTGTCTGTACTTCTTTGGAAATGAATGCACCCTCAGTCACATAGGCAGGAATCCACAGAAAAACAATAGACTTTTTTTTTTTTCAAGTGATGAAGGGCATTTGGAGACAAAAACAAAAACCAAATCCTCTGCTCTCCTGCCCCCCTCTTCCCAATTAATTTTCCTTGAAGATTTACAATGAATGTCATAATCCTCAGGAATCTTGCTAATCTGTAGGTAGATGTTACCCAGTGATTGGCTAACTTCCGGAGGGGATAGGAGTTGACAAGGGGACCCGTGGCAAGGAGGAGGAATTATTTTTGGCAACTGGCAGGCAGGATGGGTTGGGAGTCTCTTGGAAGGAGTAATTCTTCCTGCCCTTCTGCTCAACCCCTCCCCTCTCTTCCCTTTCTCTGCTGCCCGTTCCCATCTTCTCTTTGGCTAGGAGAGTGGCAGAAAAGGGGCAGACCACTTTCAGAGCCCAGGTCAGGATGTGGTACAAAGTGCTAGCAAGGACTAGAACTGGCAGTGTCTATTAATTAAGAGGTAGAACTAGAAGCAGGGTAAAGATGGGTTGCTGTCTGCCCTCTGAGGGGGAAGCCATGTTCTGGTGTTCACCGGGAATGGAGTGAAGGAAAGGAAATTCAAGTGAGACCCTAGTCTACTGGCAGAAGTGGAAGGGAGGCATGGATTCTTCGGAGCAGACTGTTATCTTCAGTACTGTTGTGTGAACTAATCAAGACAGCCATCCCCAGTGCTCAAAGACCTGATCATGTGATATGCGAGTTATGTTCATGGGATCATGGTGAGGAGAGGTGGAAGCTTTTCCCCATCTAAGCCAGCTGATTGGTCTTTTACTGCCACAGTGGGGTGGGTTTTCTTCTTGTTCTTTGAAAACAAATTGTGCTTACAACCTGCTAATGAGGCCAGTGCCTGGAAAAGGCACTTTTATATATACAGAAAGAGAAACGAATGCTTCGGTCCAGTGGGTGAAAGATTGCTGCTTAACTGCATCTCATAAACTCACTCCGTCAGCTCAGGTATAGGGGCTTGAGCCCCAAAGGTACCTACCTCCTGCTAAAAGCAATGGACATTAGACACTTTAATACTAATGAACAGGGCTCGACAAATCACTATATCTACTCGCTCATGGCGAGTAGATTTCAGCCGGTTGCCCCGTTCACCGGTGCTGCGCGCACGTGCAGTGCTTGTCTGCTGCATGTGCGGTGCGGGGCTGGCGAGTAGATCTCGCTGTGGTTCGTCAAGCCCTGCTAATGGACATTAGACACTTTGATGATCTTGGGGCTGGGCACTAATGGTCCCAAAGGATCGATCCCTGCTGACAACTAGTGACCAAGGTCCATTAAAGGAGCACATAGGATTGGTGGTGGGGTTTTAAAATATAATTACTCATCTTTCCTTCATCTATCAGAATCATGTTAACGTGGCCTAAGTAAACCTTAAGGGCGACAAGGCTCCAGAGCAATTATGATTCAATGTTAATTTCCCTGGCTATGTCTACATTACAATGATCTATCAGAAAATGGTACACAAATTGTGCTCTGCAATTTTTTCAAAAGATGCTTTCCATCTACACTGGGCCAAATTTCATAAAAACCTCTTCTTTCAGAAGAGCCCTTCTTTCTCATGAAACAAGGAAGACAGGGCTTCTGAAAGAGCATGTCTGCTTTTCCGCAAAAAATGGCACAGACATGTTCCCCGGATGCAGCAGGGTTTTTCTGGGAAACCCCATAGTCTAGACATAGCCTCTTTTTCAGATGCTTTCCCATTTTGAATAAAGCACCACTTGACTGCATGACGTTCACAGATGACGTGAACAAGACCCTCTGCCCAAGGATCCCACAGAATAGCTAGACAGCACAAAGGGAAAAAGAAAACAGATGGGAGGGAAAGGGGGTGCACACTGCCACAAAATGGGGAGATTAATGTATGGTCTTGCTCTTGAGCAACGACATTTTTCATTTGTGATACTCGGCCGGCAGTGTTGTTGTTGTGGGTTTTTTTTGTTTTTGTTTTTTTTTTAAGAAAACGTTCAGCCAAACCTTTTAATGGGTTCTCAGAGGTAGGAGATGGGAAAGCAAAATGTTTGTGACTAAGAGCTGGAGACACAGATAACATCTTTCACTAAAGCTAGTTTCCTAGGCTTCCCTGGATATAGACTCTGGCACTAGCACCCTCAGGAGTAATACCTCAGGAGTAATGCCATGGAATTTGCTGTTTGTTTCAAGGTGCAAATTCCCATGACTCCTCTAATTAAAATAGCAGCAGCTGTAGCCTTCTGAGGTTGGCCCGTTGCCAGCTCAGAGACTCATTCCACTTACCTGAGAGAAGCCCGCTGCTTCTTTTCAGAGCTTTTCAGTTCTTCACTGGCTTTGCTCTCAGCTCTTTGCCCAGAGCTCTGCAAGTCTGCACCCATGAAAAAGGAAAGTAATTTCATATTATCAATATTATTCTGAGCAGCAAATGTGCAGAAGTGCATAGATATTCATTATTGGCTTGCTGACTGCATCGCTCCATAATACCATTACGGGTAAAATCTTCAAATTTGCCGCAATGACTTAGGGGCCCAAGTCCTGTCCTCTTTCATTGAGAGCTGGGTACCCAACTCACTTAGATTCCTAGATGAACATTTTCAAAAGCATCTAGGGGTCCCACTGAACGTCAATGGGATTTATGATCCTTAATCGTTTATGGTGCTTTTGAAAACAAACATTTTTATAAGCCAAGCCAGAGTGCGGATGCAGTTACGCTGATATAAAACTGCTTTATTCCCCTTCCCGTATAGGGGGAAAAACCAATATAACTGTGTTCACACTAGGAAGATTATACCACTTTAACTATGTCAGCATAGTTAAGGTGGTACAACTTTCTAGTGCAGACAAAGCCTTCATGTAGCTTGCAGTCTGTAAATACTGTGAATCCAAAATAATTCAACAAAATGAAATGATCAATTTCAAGCCACATCTGAGGCCTCCAATGGACAGTTAGAAATCACAACACTCCCAGAATCAGTTGCTCTGATGCACATGTCCCTATAACTGATTCTTCTATTAGGAAATGAAAACTTAAATCTTTGAGGGGAAATGTTTTGGCAATATTCCAGAGGGCACATTCTTACCAGCAGGGTTTAGTAAAATACTCTTCTTCTTCTGACTGCCGTCAGGTGCCACAGTAAGCTTCACTCGCAGAGTTTTACTGGAACTAGGGGAGTGGTTTACTGATGCATCAACTACTTCATAGATGGTATGAAGCAAGCTTGTAATGTCCTACAATTGGGATTGAAACACAACCAGAAAAAAGAATATTGTAAAAACAGGTAAGGAACCAATTCCTTTGGTACTGACGAAATTAACCATTCTGGACCAATCAGGTGCCAGAGCGCCCTCAAATCTCACTGAATTAAAAAAGGACTTGAGGGAGCTCAGAATTCACAAAAAGTAATGAGCTTCATAGAATCAAGCTCTCTGTTTCTCGAATGGGCATAGCCTTTGCCACATTTCCCTGCTGATTTACAGATACATACACCCTATCTCAAGACATCAGGTGAAAGAGATACAAGAAGTGTTTCAAGTATATGAACCTTTTCTTCCATATTTCTTATGTTCAAAAGGCATAAGTGCTATGAAATGGGACAGAATAGATCAAAACACCTTAGAAAAAACACACAGTTTAATCAGATTTTCCACACACACCCCTCTACTGTGTTAAATACAGCTATATTACTTATAAAATAACGGAAAACAGTCTGCATGACCCACACAAATATTCCTCCAACCTCCGCCCCTTTAAAAAAAATAAAACAGGCCCATATTCACAATTTTCACAGCACACAAAAATAACCACTTCTGGCCTCAGGAAAATATTTGCTTTCTGCCATTCCCTTTCGATATCTAGAGACAGAGATATCTAGAGAGTCCATAGAACACATTATTGCTCAGTTTTAGAGATAAGGCAGGATTGCAGAAATCTATACTCAGACTGTTCTAAATTTCTTAAAACAATGAGGATGTTTTGGGTCAACCCACTACAGAGACAGGCCTAAGTCACAACATTGAGAATTGGCTCTAAACTTACTCCACATTCAGGACTGTTGTTCATAATGAGGCTTATTTGAATATGTACCTCTCTTTAGGTTACCATCTCACAGGTCTCATAATAAATGGGATTAAAAATGATATTCCATCATTCAAGTTAGGCAGCTTTAGAAATAACAAGGGAGGGGCAATTCCAAATTCCTCTCCCAATTCCAGTTCAGCCAACCATTTATTTAAGCATAACGTTAAGTTCATCCCTGTTCAGCTAAGTACATAAGATTATGCTTTGTTGCGAGTGCCGCTGACATAAATGGGAATTAAGCACATACTTACGGGTGCGTCTACACTGCAGGGCTTAACTTGAAATAAGCTATGCAAATTGAGCTACGTCAATTACGTATCCTATTTCGAAATAGGGATCTACACCGCACTTCTTTCAAAATACAGCACTCTTCCTCTGACTTCCCTTATTCCTTGTACAACGAGGGTTACAGGAGTCAGACTGAGAAGTCTTCCAGCTTGACAGTATTTTGACCTATTTCGAAATAATTGCCTGCTGTGTAGATGCGGACTAAGTTATTTCGAAATAGTGTTGCAGTGTAGATGTGCCCGAAGTTATTTACTATTCCAGAGGGCACATTCTTACCAGCAGGATTCTGAGGCAGATCAGAAGCAGTTACAAAATTCAAATATTCCATTTGTGTCATACAGGAGGATTACTGAATCCCTATTCTTCTTATCTGATGTATGGCTGGAACATAGTATCTTTTGACAGTCAGCTCATATTTCTCTAAACTCATCAGCCTTCATTAACATTACACAAATATCGTTACTCCATACTATCTTGTTATTGCAAAGGTAAGTAAAAAGGCCTACTACTTTGCTCATTCCTTGAGATGGAGACAATTCTCTGAATGAAGATATTTATTATTTATTCATATTAGAACCACCAGCCATGGACACCATTCTAGGATTAAAATCCATCAAGTCCAGTAGACTTTAGAAAGTCCCACTTTGAAAGTATACATTGAATAAACAATCTACCAGTATTTCTGATCCTAGACCAGGGGTCAGCAACCTTTCCGAAGTAGCGTGCCAAGACTGAACTTACTCATGTATCTATGTTCTGGGAGGAGGAGGGGATAGGGGATGCCAGGGGCAGGCTGACCATATTTTCTGAACCAGCTGCAGATAGGGAGAATGGTTTAATTTAAATTATTAAAAAGATTAAGCATTTTAACTTTCTTATGTTTATTTAAAATGAAGTTTGATAAACTAAGTAAAACATTATGTCCAACACAAAAGGTTTCAATGTTTTCTTTATTTATGGCAGCGGTAGAAAACCATTTTTGGATCGGGGCCACTGAGCCACAGAAAAATCAGATGGGGACCACACAAGTGAGAAGAAAAAACATTCCTCCCAAAAGCCCCAACCCTCACTGATTTGGTCCCCAACTGAGACACCTCACTCCTCTGGTGCTCCAGCCTCATGGGGTGAAGGGAAGGGACAGGGAGGACTGAGGTTCAGGGCCAGCCCACTTCACTTGGGCTTTGTGAAGGTTTGTGTTCGCTCAAGGCTGAACTTTATCCAGGCTGTTATGCAGCTGCAAAGCACCATTACTTCCTCCAACCCACAGCCATTTCCATGGGGGGTAAGGAACAAAGAACAGTCTCCCAGAAACAATAATAAACCATCAATATCCCCAATGGTATAACCAAAGACACGAGAGCCCCATTATACTCTGAGGAGCAGAACTACAGCCAAGATTTAACACCCACCACTATCCTCTGATACAGGCATCACAAATTTCTCGTTCCCCGTACAGCCTCTTTTCCCCTACAATCCTCTCTGCCTCCTGCCATCAGCTTCTCTTCTAATGGGACCCTCCCTTCCCCCCCCCCAGCCTGTTGCCTGCAGTTCTCATCTCCCCTCAGCCTCTTCCCCTACAATAGATCCTCCCTCACTAGCCCCCCTGCCATACAGTTCCATCCCCTACAAGGGATTCTCCCCCCTTCCTGCTCCCCTCCCATACAGCTCCTTCACCAACAGAACCCTCCTATCGCTCCCCTCCCCTCAGCCATGTTATCTCCTAGAACTGGGCTCTGCCCAGGCTCCCTAAGACCCACCACCCCAGGCCAGTAGCCCCAGCAGAGCCCAACGCAGCCACACTCACTTTCTATATCTGCTTCAGTGCCATGGCAGAGACATGCTCCATCTCAGGGCTCTGAGAGGCAGTGGCAGGTGGCTGCTCCCTGGCCAGGGACCATGCCTCTGGGGTGGTCAGAGGCACTCCTGCCATAGCCATGTGGTCCCGGGCTCGACCTAAAGGTGCCGTTGAGAAACCCCAGCGCTGCCACCTCTCACCGCAGCCTAACCTGCAGCCACGGAGGAAGGATGAGGCTGAGCTCCCGCCCAGCATGCCATTGAAAATTGGTTCGCGTGCTACTTATGGCACGCGTGCCATAGTTTGCTGACCTCTGCCCTAGACCTGTCCTAGAACTACACAGTTTACAGATGCCTTTGTTCAACATAACAAAACTGATTCTGAGGAAGATGGGGACGTAGTTCTTTCATTCAATAAAATCTCAAATCCTAATAGATGCATTCACGATTCAGACCCTTAAAAAGGTAGCCCCAAAGCTCAGCACACACAGGTGAGTACTAGCAGATACACCAGTTTAACCAGATGCAGTATACGTGCCTCTTTATTTAGCCAGCTTTAAAAACAACAGACAAATACTAATCTCCTGCACACACTGAATATTTTGCAGTTAACAGACATATTACTTTCAGTGTATCATGCAAGGAAACACTGAAACTATGGCTAAGGCAAATGATTTACAAGTGATGAGTCTCCACTTTCTGGAGCCCAAAAGGTCTAATGTAGAAGATCCAAATTCTGCTCTGATTTACAAGCTCTGCAACTTTACTCAAGTCAATGGAATTGCTCCAGATTTAGGATATGATGCTGCTCACATTGGCTTAAGCCTTAGGATCAAGTCAGAGGTAAAAGTGGGCGGATATGGACCAGTATGGCATACAGGCAAGAAGTGACCACCAGTACCAGACTGTACACAGCAGAGTTCTAATGTCACAGCTCCTTTTTCACCCCTTCCCTGTCCCCACTATCAGTGGCCCTGCCAATAGTGTCCAGCAGCTATCTATACAGGTGTTGACACCGCTTTACATTCCATGCACAAGCTATCTAGCACATCAGCGAAATTGTCTCCTCTTGAAGAAACTTAATTGATAAGAACCAAGGATAAAAGCCAGGTACAATCAGTTAACTTCTCTTTTCTGGCACACAATCAAACATTCTCAAGAAACCTGGCAGCCCCACAGAGCTCTGCAGGTCTAATTATCAAAGAAACTAAGTTCCCTGCCACACAAACCACAACTTTTAGAAATTGCTTGAGGCAGGCAAAATATTATCCCTTGAGCTAGTCAAAGTTTTCCTTCCAAACACAGCATATCCCCATGCCCCCATGAAAACAAACTTCTCTTGAACAATTGTCATTGTGAAAAAATCATCTTTGCAAAAATTAATAATTTTTACCAAAATGCTTGCTGAAAAGATTTTCAAATATGAAAAAATAATAGTTAATAAAAAATATGGCATAAAATGTCACCAACCCCCCCACAATCTCACTTTTCAACCAGCTCTTATTATATTATCAAAGATAAAGAATTTAGAGGTAGGACTGTGTCAATATAAATTATTCTCAGATGGCTTTCAGATTACGTGTTGAAATACCTACTGATGTTATGTACTAAGAATGCTATTATGAGGAATCTTCTCATAAGAGAAAAACTAAAGCATTTTGGGACTGTTTTAAGAGTTGGTATATGTCAGACCCCTACAACTTGGTTTCCAAGTTGAGAATGTATTAACTGCCATGTATTTTTCACCTCATTATATGTTATGGACAAGGCAGCTTTGATTACAAAACCACGTTTACAAGAGTAATGGTTAACAGGATTTTCAGAAAGTGTTTGTTTTGGAATTATTACAAAAAGCGTATAGTCAATATAGCTCTATAATAGTCAAACCTTTACCACACACAGCTGATGACTCTCTGATAAGATACTGGCTGATAGCAAATGAGAACACTGAGAAAGTCTAATGTGTTGAGTAAACAAAAGCACCAGAAACTGCCATTCAAATACTATGCATTCCAAAATCTGCTCTGAATTAAAGATTGAGAAAGTCTTCACTCAGGGTACTAATATT